CCCCCGGCCCCCGAACCAGCCAATCAGAATCGTTCTCCCTCCCGCTGCCCCGCCCCGGCTCCTCCCGGCCGCGTCCGTCTCGTGTCCGCGCTCCTGATTGGCCGCTGCCGCCCAGCCGGGCTGGGATTGGCGCGGGAGCGCGCGGGCCGCGGGTGCGCGCGCAGGCCGGTCCCCTCCGGGCACGCACCGTCCCTTATAGGCACGCGAGCCCCCACAGCCGCGGACATGTCGGTGTCCCCCGTGAAGCGGCAGAAGATGGAGTCGGCGCTGGACCAGCTCAAGCACCACACCACGGTGGTGGCCGACACCGGGGATTTCAACGGTGAGGGGCGGCGCGAGGGGATCCCGTCACCGCATCTTCTCCTTAGCCCCCTGTCCCGCCCCCCTTCACGGAGAGTGGGCGCGCCCGGCCGAAGGGGCGCGCGCTGGGGGGAGCGAACCACCCAGCGGCCGGAGGGGGGCGGGGGGAGGCGCTCGGCGGCGGCGCCTCGGTCCCGTCGCGGGCAGATCCCGCCGGGCGGGACATTTTCCAGACCCTCCCGTGATCTTCTCCCGGTCTGCCCTCGAGTGTGCCCTGACCAGCACGTCCAGCTCTGCCTGCTGTCAGACTCAAGCCAGGCTCTGCTGTGCTAATGAATTCGGGTTTTCTTCCAGTGACCTGTCCAGATCTGGGACGTGTTTGGGGTTTTTCCAAACTCAGGCTTGGATGGGGCTTGGAGGAGCCTGGTCCAGTGGGACTGGAAATGGATGTGCTTCAGTATCCCCTCCAACCCAAACTACTCCAGGATTCCATCACTCTGTGACACGCTTAAAAGCTGGTTTGGGGTTGGAGAAAACGAAGGGGAATGGTGGATTTTATTTGTTACAGTGGAGCTGTACGTTTATCAATTTCCCTCTTGCATTTCCAGGATGCAAAAAGTGAGAGGCAACTTGAGGACATGTGCTCAGTCTGACAGAAATAATGTTGAAAAAATTCAGCCTGCTGAATACTGCAGAGACAGTACAATTCCAAATGGGTTGTATGATCCTGACAATTCCAAGTATACTTAATGGATAAGCCTCAAAAGGTTACAGGAAAACACCCAGGAGCACATCCAGGAAAACATCTTGGAATTAATGGATAAAATCATGGTGTATTTTCCTTGTACAGCACTGCATGTGCTTGATTTTAGGATGTCTAAAACTGTTACATTCCTGAAAACAGGCAGGTGTGGGCTAATTTATAGGCAGAATTTGTGATATAAAAATATTTGTGGTTATATGTATATATAGGGTAGATATTTATGAGTTAGATACTCTGTAATACATATTTATATATTTTTAATAGGTGTGTATAAATATGTATATTTTATATATTTTTTTATATGTGCACATAAATATTTTTCATCACACACTCTACCTGTCTGGGGGCCTTGCTGGTGAGCTCCCAACTCGTTCCTGAGGAAAACTTCAGGCACAAGTTACTTGGTTTAATTGTTTTCTCTTTTTCTTAATTATTTTACTCGGCTGGAATAACTAATAAAGTCAGCTGTACATGTCTAGTTCCAAGTGGGACCAAGGAGATTTTCTGCACAATCCAGAGTGGATTTTAAGATACTCATTAGTCAGGGAAGTGAGGAATAGGATTTTTAACACTCCTGGGCTGTGAGTGTGGCCAGAGGTCCCTCCTAATGAGCAAGAACCCCATGGCCCAGGGCACCAGGGCTTTTGGGCATGGAGAACTTAATGGCAGCAGTTGGCAGCTCTGCCAGTTCAACTGATAAAATAAATCCAAGACTTCCCTAGAGGAGTATTTTTCCTGGATATGTGTAAATACAAGCATACCTTTTTACTCTCAAGTGAGTGAAGTTTGGGGTTGTTTCCCTTAAAATTTAAATTCCCAGACTTTAGTTCTCCTGGCTGGGCCCGATGTGCAGCAGTAGGGCAAGGGCTGGAGCTGGGAGCAGATTCCATCGCAGCCCAGCCGTGCCCAGGAGCCTCCCTTGGCTGTGGCAGCAGCCTTGGGAAGGGATCAGACATTTGGAACTGCCCAGACTGCAGGAATGGAGGGGGAACTGACCTGCACAAGTAATTCAGGCTCCCACAGAAAGCTGCTGGGCCATGGTTCCAGGCCAGGAGTGTCAGGACTGTGGCATCCTCAGTGCCACATCAGTGGTTAATTTCCTTGGAGCTCTCAGGATCAGGATGATGTGGTGTTCATTCCCCCTGGGAAAGCAGGGAGCAGGATCAGTGCTGTAACCATGACTCTTTCCTGCTCTCTGCACCTCCTCCAGGATGCCCTGGAGTGCCCTGGCTCATGGCAGTTTAATCCGTGTGGAATGGCGTCCCGTACCTGACTGCAGCTGGGACAGTCCCTGAGTGTCCCATGGAATCCTGGGGTTATTGCACAGACAGTCAGGCCTGAAAGTCCCCTGCAGCAAGAGCCCAGCACCTGGCCACAGAGGCAATTCCAGCATCTGAAAGAAAGGGGCTCCTCTGCAAACTCCTCTGCCATGAGGTTTCTCCAGCAGAAATCAAGGAATGGCTCATGGCAGGGTGGAGATTAAGTTATTACAGAGGGAAGTAAAAGATAAATATTTATCTCATTTTCCCCTCAAAAGGTTCATGCTCTGCCCTACAGATTATTTCAGGTTTTTCCCACAAGATTTGCCCTACCTGTCCATTACTAATCATCTAATTTTTATCTCAAAATAGTCATTCTCTATCCTGGAGAATATGTCAATTACTATCCCTAAAATTTTCACTATGTATCCCCACGTGACTCTCTTAGTTTACCACATGATGTTCATTCTCTTCCCTGGGAATTGCTTTTAAGTTTTTCCCCCAAATTGTCCCTTTCTGTCCACTTCTGATTTCCTCATTTTTTACAAGAAAGTATTCATGCCCTACTCTGGAGATTATCTCCAGTTTTACCCCAGTTTCTTTCCCCTATGTGTTCACTACTGATTGCCTGATTTTTACCTCAAGTATGTTAATTCTCTTCCCTAGAGATTACCTCAGATTTTACCCCCAAAACTTTCCCTGCCTGTGCACTACTGATTGCCACAGTTTACTTCAAAATATTCATGCTTTCTACTATAGGCCACCCCAAGTTTACTCCTAAAGTTTTCCCTACCTATCCACTACTGATTATCTCAATTTTTACCTCAAATCAGTCATTCTCTGTGTGCAGACACTGGACAGTAAACCACACAAAGATTTAAAAGTCTGCACCAGGAATAGCAGAAAGTTTTCCATGAATTACAGAAGTTCCTTTTTTCCCTCCTCATCCTGGGACTGCTGGACTGAATCTTTCCAACCAGGAGACAAGGGAGTTGTTATTAACACTTAAGCCTCTCAAATGCTGTCATTTCTCAGACAACTGTGCCAGCACTGAGCTACTTCCATATGCCTGCAGTGCTTTGGGGAGGAGCAAGATGACATCCCACTTTTGTCTGCAAAAATTTCAAGATCATAAAAAGTCATTTCCCTTCTCTCTCTGACCCATAACCAAAGCAGCCATGTAGAACAACATGGACTGTTCATGGAGGGGATGATTCAGTTGTGGGTAAAAAACAGACCATGCAATGAGACACCAATCATCCCTGCCTTGAGTGTGTCCAGGCCTGGGAGAAAGCCCTTCCCACCACACTCTTGGCCTTTCCCAGTCTGAGTAACTGTGGAAATGCACATCCAACCCCAGCAGGCAGTCTGGAATGTTGTCTGAGCACCAAACACCACAGCCCCAAGCACCAGCAGCCTGGAGATGCTCTGGATTGCACTTCACAGCCTCAGTCAATCCCACGTGGGAAAGACAAGTGGTTTTTCTTTTGAGAGAGAAGAACACATGACATCAAGGGCTGTCCCAGCTGACCCGGCCCTCGTGGGCAGCTCCATCACTGAACAGGATTTTTCCATCATGTTTCCAGTGCCACTGGAAAACACTGCAAGCCTGTGGGTCTGAGGTTTAAGAGGTACTTTCAGATCAGCAAAAAGGTCTCTAGCTGCAACAATTCACTGAATTCAGTGGTAGATCCCGAAATCTGTTTCCAAGTGCATAAAAACCCAGAGGAAAAGGTGCTGAGTACCCAGGAATTCAAGGTGCTCCTGGCACAGATTTCCTGAACTGCTGGGAAAAGGTCCCAGGTCTGGCTTTGGCTGCTCCCCCTGCACACTGCACTCTCCAGAGCAGCCATCCTGCCTGGGAAGGCCCGGGAGAAGGGAAGGGGCATTGGAGCCCCTCTGGGAAGCTCCAGCCCCACTGGCAGCGAGCAGTGACCCTGTCAGCGCCTGCAGCCCTCGCCCCAATTCCTGTCACTTGGTGGGTGGCTCCTGATGTGGCACCTGGGGACATGGGATGGGGGTGGCCCTGGCAGTGCTGGGGCAGCAGTTGGACCCGATGGTCCACAGGAACACCTGAACAGGTCCTGGCAGGGGCACAGCATTGCCACCAGGTCCTGCAGCACGGCTGCTTGTACTTCAGGACTTCTGGGTTTTGGTACAGATCCACTGGAATTTAACCTCATAAAAATAATTCGGCAAGAATTAACATTAATCCAGGAGTTCCAGGGCATCACCTTTGTGTGATCTCAGTCAGTTTAACTGGGGTTTGGAGGAGAAAAATTGGTTTAAAGGTGTGATCAAACCTCTGTACAACCCTGTCAAGATTAAGGGCAGCAGAGCAGGTATGTTGATAAAAATTACAAAAATTACTTACTTGAATTAATAACAAGGACTAAAAGACCTTAATTAATCTCTCCTGAGCACAGGAGCTGTAAGTGCTGGTGCAGGGCACCCTGTGTGCAGGAATATCGCAGCAATGACGCCAATTACCAGGACAAACTGTTGCTGACCCAGAACAACAGCCAGGGGGAAATCTGCATCTCTGCCCCGAGCAGCGACCTCGGCGGTGCCTGCCTCAGAGGGGCTCTACGGACTCGCGGTGACACAGGGCCCTGGCTGACACCACCATGTCCACAAGAGGTTGTTCGTGTTATTTTCTCGACCATTCTCTCTTTTCATGTCTTCCCCGGGCCGCGGCGATGAACGATCTCCCCGAGGGCCTGACGCAGCAGCCGCTCCCGCCGCTGACCGGGGTGAAGGCGGCTGCGCAGCCCCAGCGCCATCACCATCACCCCGCGGGGCTCCCTCAGAGGAGCCCCCTCAGAGCCGGGCCCGCGCCGCGCCCGCTCAGGGGACCTCTCGCCTCAGCGACCGGGACAGAGCGTGCCCCGCCACTGCCTGCCGCTGTCTCCCGCTCGCCCGCGGCGCCTCTGACCAACGCCCCCGTCCCCACCGGGACGTCTTTCTGGGCACGGCGTCCTCTCTCGGCGCCATTTCTTCCCTACTCAAAGCGCATGCGCGAGCAGTCGCCATATTGGAAAGGGCACCATACGCCTAAGCCGCCATCTTAGGTGTGGTAATGTGAGTTCCGCCCAAAGTCCGCCATCTTGTGTCCTGGCAGAAGTAACTTCCTGTGAGGGCCGCCATCTTAGGTGTGGTATGACGTGAGTCCTGCCCAGACCCGCCATCTTGTGTGCTGGCAGCAGCCGGGTCCGGGCGGTTCCGCCACTTCCGGCCCGGGCCGCCCTCTTGGGCGTGGCCGACCTTGATTTGCGGCCACCTCCGCGCCCTTGGGAGCCGCGTTTGTCGCTGTCCATCACACAGACAGACAGACGCACACGGACACACACACACATCCCCCTACCCACCACACTCATATCACAGTCCGCGCAGCTCGACCGAGCCCCGCCCGCTGTCCCCCGTCCGGGCTCTCTCATGAGTTAGTCTTCGTTACTCACAAGCATCACAAAGGCCTTCAGAGGCCGTAAGTCAAGGGCAGTTGTGAAAAAAACCTGCTTTCTGCTCGTTCAGTTGCCTTTAGGACAAAATATCTCTGTTATTGATCACACTTCCAATAACAGCAGGTAGCTGCTAATCTATGTTCCTGGCAGGATATTCCTGTCCCAGTCCATGGCAATATCTTTTTGCAGCTGCCTCCTACGTCAGTGTGTGCAGGTGCTGAATGCAGAGGGGACAGGACCCCTGAGGCGCTGCGGATGTTGGGTTTTAGGAAGAGAGCCGAACACGCAGGCCCGGCTCGCTGCAGTTCCCCGCGGGACCACGAGGCGGTGCTGCAGGACAGGCTGCGAGCGCACTGCCCGGCCCGGCTCGCTGCCCCGGGGCCCTTCCCGCCGCCCCCTCAGCGAGCGCCGGGAAAAACTGATCTGCTCAAAAAAAACGTGCTCCGGCTCTGGAAGCAGTGTTGGCATATCCATAAAGTCCTGGAATGTTCCGGGTGGGAAGGGACCTTAAAGCCCATTCCATTCCACTCCCTGCCATGAACAGCGACAGCTTCCACTGTCCCAGCTTGCTCCAAGCCCCGTCCAACCTGGCCTTGGACGCTTCCAGTCACTCCATTCTCCTGTGTACTACTGCAGCCTGTCAGACTAATTAGCTGTTTATTGGAATGCTGTAGGAGAGAAGGTAATGAATGGGTCTAAGTATCACATTAACACAGCTATGTACTTCTGGGAGCCACTTTTGGGAGTGGCAAACTATGTGTTTTTCACCCAAAAAGTGAGGTTCTTTTGTGTCACCAAAGCAGAAGTCATCGCCAGTTGCATGAAGTAAGCGCTTCAGGATAAATGACAGGAGAATCAGCAAGTGCCAGCGGTTAGCAGAGGGAAAGGGCGAGAACACACGCGAAAAGGAACAGGAGTATGCTTTTCAGATGAGACTAACTGAGCGCACTAATTTTTAAATTACTTATTATTCCCCGCCGGCCGGCGCTGGTGAGGCGGGAACTACATTTCCCGTGATGCCCCGGGCCGACGCAGGACGGTGCCAATCAGGTGGGCGGGGCCGTGGCCAATGGGGAGGCGGGAGAGGCTTGAATATTAAAGCGGCGGGAATAGTTTCCCATTTTGCTGGCGAAAAGGTACAGTGTCGGCTCCGGAGCTGTGTGCGGTACGTCCGGCCGGCTGGGAGGCAGGTCTGGGAAGCAGGTCTGGGAGGGGTTGGCGGAGCCTGCGGCGCTCTGGGCTAAGGCGGCCTCAGGAGCTGTGGGGTCCGTGAGGGGGTGAGGACTGAGGTGCTGTGGGGTTCGAGGTGTGCGGGGCTGAGGCGGTGTCAGGGGCTGTGAGATGAACAGGGCTGAGGTTTGTGGGATCCGTGAGGGTTGTGCGCCTGTGGGGTCGGGGCTGAAGGGCTGTGGAGTCTGTGAGGGGCCATCGGGTGTCAGTGGAGTCTGTGAAGTTCGCGACACTGATGGCTGCCGTGCCTTTGAGGAGCGCTCGGGGAGCCGTGAGGTGCGTAGTGCTTGAGGGGCTGTGGGGATCTGTGGCATTCCTGTGCGGCTGAGGGGCTCTCAGCTGTGAGGTGCGCGGCACTGACGGCTGCGGGATCCGTGAGGGGCTGTGGTGTGTGAGCTGTGCGGGGCTGTGGGTGTCTCTGGGGGTCTGCGAGGCGCTGTGCGGGGTCTGTGAGGGGCTGAGAGCGGAGGCGGCCTGAGGGGCTGTGAGGTGTGTAGGGCGGAGCGGCGGTGTCTGTGTGGGATCCGTGCGGGGCTTTAGGGAATGAGGTGCTTGGCGCTCGCGGCTCTGGCGCTCTCAGATGGATTTTCCTGCCCGGCGCGGCGCTGGGGCCGCCCGGACAGCGCGGGGTGCCCGGTGCCGGCGTGGGGCGATGCGTCCCGGAGACCGAGAGCCTCGCCTGCCGTCGGTGCCAGCCGGGAGTCCCCGCCGCTCTGCCCCGCCGGCCCCCGGCTGGGGTCGAGGCTCGGCTGTGCCCCCGCCTGCTGCAACCGCTCGTGGAACTGGTGAGGAGCCAGAGGGTCCCGGCTGAGCCTGGCTGAGGCTCCCCGGGACCCTTCAGCATCCGGTGTGAGGAGGGTGGGGGCGTCTAGGAGCAGGGAAAGAAGCAATCACCGGGGAGGGAGATGGCTTAATGTTAGCGGCTTTTGCTACTAATGTTGCCTGCTTGCGGTTCTTCACTGTCAAGATGAACTCTTTTAATAGATTTCCCATAGGGCGGAAAAAAACCCCCAAGTCACTCTAAAAGTTGGGTATCTAAGTGGTGTGTTTCAGCTGTACAGAAAATTTGGGATAAATGAGCTGAAGAAAGCTGTCTCTGTCAGGTTTCAGGTCAGTACCCAGCTGTACAGGTGTCCATTTCTTTTTAAACACAAGATTAAAGGAGAGGTGGTCATGTCCCAGGAGACAGCCACTCCCTCCTGACCAGGGAGAATGTGCAGCTCCTCAGGCAGGGACAGGAGATGTCCAGCCTGCAGAAAGAACACAGTGCAGCATCTTGGAAATCTAGCAGGGTAAGGTGACTGAAAATGGATGGGCAAAAGAGAGGAAGGTGTGTCTAAACTGATTACTTTAACGCCTCAAAGAAGAGGCTGTGTCTTTCTCCTTTGCCTGTGGTTTGTGTCTATTGCAAATACAGTTAAATGATAGAATCGTGAAATTGTTTGGGCTGGAGGGGACCTTATAGATATCCAGTTTCACCTTCCACTAGCCCAGGTTATTCCAAGCCCCATGCAACCAGGCCTGGGGCACTCCAAGGATGGATCAGGCACAGCTTATGTGGGCAACTTGAGCCAGGGCCTCAGCACCCTTCCAGGTGTTATAGATAATTAATGATAAAGCTAAATCAGTAATTAATAAAAAGATTTTTATTTCATGACCAAGATTCGGTCTCTGATAGCCACAATCAAAGGGTCAGCGTCAAGCCCGGGATCGGCACTGGATGAACGCAGATTCGAACTCGAACTTCACTGCTTCTAATCCCCCCTGTTCACAAATGCAGTAGAATACTGAATACTGTCTCTGTCGGGCTGGCTTTATACTGTTTATTTCGCCTGGGGCAGAGTTTGTTCTATTCTTCTCATTGCTGTACATATTCATGTAGTTTCCTTTTCTCCACGCTGGGCTGGACAAAGCCTATTCTGGGAAGTGGTGAATGCTGATGGTGGAGTTAAGGGGATCTGGTATTGGGATGCACATCCTTGATGACTCTGACTGTCTTGATCATGGATACTTGTCAGGTATGCATCCCTTGGGTGTCTCTGGACTGTCCCAGGCAAGGGCCCATCTCTTTTCCTTTGCTAATTCGGTTCTCTTCCTCACTGCCATCTGTGATTTCGCAATTGGTGAGGCAATCTCTTTCCCCTGCTGTGGCTTGTGGTTTTGAAATCTTTAAGAATTTTTGTACAGACACAACTTATTTCATGTATATTTTACCCAGGCACGAATGAATCCATCACATATATCACACAGGGAAGAATTTCTTCCCAATATGTCATCCAAAGCCACCTAACTGTGGCTTAAGGGCATTTCCCCTTGTCCTGTCACTGTGAATGAGCCCTTGTGAATGGCTGCTCTCCGAAAGAGTCCCTGGCCACGTCTACTCTGTTCACGTTTAGCAGGCTGATATGGCTTGAATAAAGTTTAAAAACTCTGTGGAGTTTTAAAATCAGGAGAAGGAAATTCTTGCTAAGCAAGAGAATTGGCAGAGGTGGCTTGCTGAAATGTTTGGAGGGCAGAAAAGGAATGCAAGAGGCAAAACATGAGCCAGGGAAGGGGAGAGAAGCCAGGCATTAGTTGAATGTGTAAGATAGAAGCGTTAGAGTTGAATTCTTTTGGAAACTAGAACCTGAAGGAGGAACTTGTTGGCTGTCTTGTGCACAGAAGGCACGTACAGCATTCTGCAAGTCTTGTTTTGAAGTGCTTGTGAGGAAAACAGAAGAGTGCAGATCAAAAGGATTCAAGTGCAGTATCAATGGAATATTTATCCTGGCAATAGGATGACACAGAGTAGCTTCCAATGGCTTAAACTAAACATGAAAAGGAACAGCTGTGCTACAGGTGTTTAGGCTGTTGCAGAGAAGTGATGGAAGACCTGGTGTGAAGGGAATGAATCCTGTGAGATCAGGTTTGTTTCACAGGTGCTCAGACAAGCCCCAGTGTTGCCCTGCTCTTTGTAGCTGAGAAAAGGAGAATAGAAAGTCACGAGGCTGATGCCTGGCTGTGCCAGGGTGACTTTATGATGCTTGTGTCCCCAGTGGTCTGTTCTGTTGGTCACATGCTGGAGCACAAGCTTTTCCAGAGCATGTTAGAATGATAATGTAAAAGCAAAGCTTTCCTTGAAGGCCTCCAGGCACACACAATGGCAAAAACCAGTGCTCAGAACTGATGGGATCGTGTTCCTTTTGTCCCAGATAATCATTCTACAAACCAGAGTTTAGGGACTTGTCACGCCTGTGGTCACACAGCTGTGAATGGAATTAAATGGAACAGATCCTGTATCAGGATGCATGACAGTTAAGACATCATAAGAATTTTGGTTTTGCCTGTACCTTATAGATACTTTAAGTTGGATTTGTCTTCTGTTGTTTGTTTTGTTTTAGTTATCACACAATTCTGAGTAGTTTGGTGTTACTTATTCCAATTTTCTCATGTATTTTTTCTAAGCACAGAACAGAATGTCTTTACAATACTCCAAAACTAGGTTCTGAAATTAGCCCTGCTTTCTCCTGTGCCTGTTTTTCTGTGCTACAGTGAAGTTCACAAAGCCCACATAGTAAATTCCTGCTTTTTCAGGACCCCCTGCAAAATTGAGCCCAGCATAAACTGTGTGTTAAGTACTCGCAAACCTGAGGAGCGGGAGGACCCACTGCAGCGAGTGCAGCATCAGCAGCAGGATGCTCAGGCAAAGAAAGAGATGGTGATGTACTGCAAAGAGAAAGTTTATGCTGGAGTGGATGAATTCTCTTTTGAAGAGATCCGAGCTGAAATCTACAGGAAGAAAGCGAGAAAGAAAGACGAGGGTATGTTCCAAAGTGGGCTGGAGCAAGTAAGGTATTCCAGATGGAATCATAAAATTTTATTTGCTTCTGTCTGTTATTGCAGCTGCTTCTCTTTTTCTACTGGAGTAGTTGTTTAACTGCTGTGAGGTACAGAGACAGTAACACATTCAACAGCTTTATGTGGAAGCTGTGGGACAGGGAAAGACCACCAGAAGTTTTGGCCCCTTGAGAATTTAGGCTGCAGCCACCAATTGTATGTGAAATAGGCATTGGGCCTTAGAGGTGTTCTTTCCTTAGATGAAATACAAGCCATAGAACGGAAGAAGGAAGAAATACAAAGGAAAATTGAGGAGCTGGAACAGAAATTAAAGAAAAAAGAAGATAACAAGCAGCAACAACCACATGAACAGGTATTGTCCTCATTTAACTGCAAATAGCTGCAATTTTAAATTAAAGTACCCAAGAAAGCCAAAAGGAAGTGTTTCTGATATTCTTGTAACACATTTTGAAGTTCTTTTGAAAGGATTCTTCACTAGTGAAGTATATTCTCTCCCTCTATCTCTCTCTCTCTCTCTGTCTTCCTTCTCTGTTTCCAAAACAATGCCTTCACAGTAAGTACTTTAAATAATGAAACAGAGTTGTGATTTTGTAAGCTACCTAACTGCTTACATATGTCCTTAACAGTTGCAGGGTAACTAAAATCTCCTATGAAAGTATAAATATGGTTGCAAAGAGTAAATGATGCCTTTTAACTTCACTATGCAATAAAAGTGGACTTTACTTTCTTCATGCAGGTAAGCTAAGTACAAATACAAGTAGCTAAAGGCAACCATTTTCTATCAGGGTTTTAATGGCTATGCGAAATTATCATCATGTTTTTGGAACCTTTTTGCCTGGCTTGTGATTCTACCACTGTAGAACTGAAATGTGGCTTTGTTACCACAGGCAGCAGAGGTAATGGGAGCTTCCACACCTTTGGGATTGCAAGGATTTACTTTTTCCAGCACAAAAGAATGTGGGGAGAAACAGCCTCAGTCACAAAGGTAAAGGAGGGGTGTTTTAGCCAGCAGAGAGAACACTTGTGAGGCTATGTAAGTATGACTAGTAACATGGATCACTAGCAGCCTGTTTTCTCAGGTAGAATGGAATATAGCCTTGGCATCAGCCTATAACCAGGATCTGTGCTCTTTCTTTGTTTGATTATTTGTCTGAGGGATCTTGACTTTTTGCAAGAAGCATTTGTCATCCTGGCTTGACTTTTTTACAGAGTTTACTTACGTTTTGTGAAGGTCTGTAGAATACAAACTTGTTTATTTTATATTTTTCGCAGTGAATTCCAGGTCTATGAAGATACTCAACTGCATAAACCATCTTGTTCTGAGGGTACGTACTCAAGTTTTTTACCATTAACAAGAAGGTCTGGTTTAAAGGGAAGTGTTCCATGAATACCAAGAAGGCAGCAAAGTAAAACCCAAAGCTTAGGTGGATTAGAAGAATGACAGTGCGTTTGTTAGTAGTGCCTTTTACCTTATTGAGCAAAACATGGAGCATCTAAGAACTGTCACTATTTGAAAGGACTTTCAAGAAGAAGGGCATTTTTCTTTCAGTAGCTGGAAGGTTTTCTTCCATCTTTCATGTTTGCAGTCTTACTAACATTTCAGAAGAGTTTAATGCTGTAATGAGATTAATAATTACCTTAAGTCCTTTTTCCTCAGAGGTTTTGCTAGGGGAATACATCCCAAAATTGCCTATTGTTGATTTTGCTAAGTTTTGTTGGGAAGGTCAAATCCTGAAGAATTTTACTTCTGATTGGAGTTGACTTTTGTTGCTGTTGACAGCGGTTATCCAGATTCCTGATGTATCCCCAGACAGCCACAGTGGAAATACATTTTTAAACTCTAAGGAGAAACAGAGAAATGAGAGTCTTGCAGAAAAATGTACAAATTCTGAAGCATAGTCTAAAACACATAAAATGGTGGTAAAGGGGTGGTTAATTAACATGGCAAAACCAAACCTTTTTAAATGGGTTTCTTTATATGCCAGCTCTGTAACTTGCTGTTAGGAGCAGTACTTCTAGAACTGCATATTAACTATTTTAACTAGTGTTGGATATGCTATTTTAAAGGAACTGTGGATATGATAGAGCCTCTTGGTTTTTCTTTACAGATGTAGGTCTGCTTCCCCCACCGGCTGCTGTTCCATTTTTCTCTATATTTGATGAATCCACTACTTTGACAAATCAGAATATAAGGTAGAATTATTGAAGACCTGGATTTCAGAGGGAAGGAAAACAGAAACATCAAAACCCTTGCTATAGCAGCTGAAATAACTGTTTCTTGTAGGAGTGTGTGGGGATGTGTGTTTTGTTTTGTTTATATTGGTATTTTTTTTATTTAATTACTCAGAGTCCTTGATAAAGAAATACTCTTCTGTTCTTTATCTTCGACCTAGAACTATTTAAGCTGCTCTATAAACTTGCTTCATTCTGGAGAGCTGTAGTATCTATTGCTTACTGCTGGTTCTACGGTAGAAATTGGATGATTGGAATGATAATAGACTTAAACTCTTGAGAGAGCCATTTCTTTAGCTCAGGGTCCACTTTGCCTTGAGCAGATTGGAGAGGTAATAGCAAGCCCACTTGCCTTTTTGGATTACTGCTGTGGGACTAATTTACAAGGTTTTTTAACCCAATAACTTGCAGAGAAATTAATAAATAATAAATGCTTTCTGTCATTATCAAACATGAAGAGCCGTGTCATCAGTTCCTTTTATACAATTGGCTCATGTACTTATGTTGACTATATAAAATGTTTTTAGTGTTTGTAGTTTAGTTTGTGCTTGAGTTGTTTTGCTGGCTCTTAGGATGTAAACATGTATACCATGCTGAATGTGTTTTTTACTCGGGATGTTCCTTGCTCATTATAATTAGGAAGAAATATTTCCCACCCAACCCTTCACTGCTTTGAAAGCACTGAAATTTTGTAGCAAAGATTGTGATAAATATTCAGGATGTCTTCTGTTGTAGCAGTTAAATTTGGTGAAAGAGAAGATTACTAAAATCATCTCTAGACTAAGATTCTGAGTATAATCAATTATCAAAAGTGAAATGAAGCTCTGACATTACTTCTGGCTTTCTGCTAGGGATGGGAAAGTATTTCTTCATGTTAATTAAATCTGGGTGTGCACTGTATCCTCTCCTAGTCCCCCGGTTGATGTTATCTACAACTGGTATCTTTGGTTAGTCTGAGTACTTGATCTCTTTATTTACAGCCCGATCATGGAAACCAGCCTGGAAGATGCTCACTCATCAGGTGCTTCTGTCTCAGGAGGTTCTCTGTCCTCTGTTACACAAACATCTGCTATGAAATACCTGCAGATCAGTGAGAAACTGGAGCTGGCTCAGAGCTTGCCTGCTGAATTAGTTACTGGTTAGTATTAAACTGAATTTCACTCGCAACAAATAACTTGCACCTGTCACTAAATGTGGGGATTTTTCTGTCCTTCCTGTATCCCACTCTGCTTTGTGTGTTACTATGACTGGTGGCTCAACTTGTCTTCCTTGTCTGAAGCAGCAGTGAGGTGCAGTACAGGGTGCTTGTCAGCATCCAAAGCATGTCAGTATTAAGGTAACAGATAAGTTACTTAGGGTAGTAAAGCAGGCAATCTGTAGGAGTAATGAGGTCAAATTCCAAAATTAAAAATTTGGACTGGTTGGCAGTAATAACTGCTAAGGTAGCTTTGTTTTGGTTTGTCTTTCTTCTTTCTTTCTTTCTTTATTTTCTTTCTTTCTTGTCATCATACTGTGTGTCTCCTGATGTGCTGATAAGCTACTACTTTGAAAAGAATGGATACGAATTTGGAGTCTAGTGCAAGTTGCATAATTTTGGTTTAAATCTGCATTTTAAGTATGCTGTAAACTGTTGTGCTGCTTCACAGTATCATTCTTATTCCTATTGATGGAAAGCAGTACTGATATTTAAATAGTCAATATCTTTGCTTATCTTTCTCCTAGTTAAAGGCATTTGTTTCTTTCTGTTCTAAATATTTAGATTACAGTTAGAACAGAATTGGTCACAAAAAGCCTTCAAAATCTGGCTTGTGGAATTAGATGTGTGTTGGATGATAGTGTTCAAGGTGTTTAACCTTTTTTAGCTACTTTGGTTTTGTTTTATGGTTCTTTATTAGAATTGTGTATTTGAAATTTCAGTGTATCTACTCTGGAGAGTTATGTTCTCATGTGCCTACAGACTATTTTATGATGAAGAATGCTTGGCACTTGGAATGAAAATACAATTAGAAGTCATGTCACAGAAATAGCTGGGATATTTTGGGTGGATCTTTGTGTTGTTTTTATCATATGTACTAAACTTTAGAGCAAGATGAAAAATCTTTTTAGAAAAAAATAAAGCATTTGTTCAGATGTTTTAATGGTCCTTTCTTAAACTTTGGATCTTTCCAGTTGCTTTGTTTCTTGATTTGTTGACATCTCCCGTGAACTGCAGCTCTCACCCTGGATATAGTAATTCTTAATACTGTGTAAAGGACAAAAATTACTTCAGGTAGCTGTCCATTTATTTCTGCAAAATATGCCAGTAAATTTCCTAGGTTTGTGATGTCAAAAGCTTGGAACACATTGTAGCCTCCAGCCTACATTATTTCCTGGATCTTTCACAGCATTGCTTCCTGAGCAGTACTTACTGCAATGCTTTTCAAATAAGGGTGGGCAGAACAGTAGATAATCTGCTTCCTACCTGTATGCTGTGGAAGTTTAAAATGTTCTCCCTCATCACAGCCATGGCATTTGGGAGAAGGCAGTAGAGGCCATCTACTACATCAGTTCTTGTGTTTTGTCTCAGTGATCAAGCAGAGTAAACATTGAGGCTGTCTTGGTTTTTTACAGATCAACTCATCTATTGAATGATCTTATGTTCTGTTACAAAGGAAAATAAGTCCAGTCCTACAGGTGTCTTCCAGGAAATAAAAGACATCATATTCTTAACATTGCAATGAACAGCAGAATTGGAGTCCAACTTTCTTTTCCTTTTCTTACATAAAACCTCTGCTGTAATCAAAGGACTAAATTTCTCTAAACCCCATAATTAAAAAACCCCAAACAAATCACTTGCTATGGGCATAGATTAAAAAAATGGATGTTGATTTGCAGACTGAGTTTGAATTCTGCTGTGGCTGAAATAATTCAGAGCTTTGTCTCTTGTGAAAGATACATTTTGCATGATGCTACAGTAGAATCCTTGAGACCTCATGATAAAAGTCTGTAAGACAGTTTTAAAGACAAGGGTCACATTGACTTCCCAGAACTATTGGAAAGAGATCAGTTGACTTGCTAAGAGATGAATAGTAAATCAGAACGTGGATTGAAAGTTTCCAGTATCCAGTTTACTTATACTGACAGATACAACCAAGTTGCAAAGAGTTAACACAGTTTCAGCTCATCTCTTCATGTTGTTTGTTTTCTTAGATGATGATGTGGCTCAGATCCTGTGGAGCCCTGAAGAGCGTAAAAAGCTTCTGAGTTCTGTGCTGTCATCATTGGCTGCTTCTCCAGGTTTTCACTTGGAGGCTGGAGCTCTGCCTCACATGGAGGTTGAGAAAGACGTTGAGCTGGGTAGGTGTGCCAGACCGTCTGCAGTGCAGCGTTTGTGTTCTAATGGGTTTGAATTAGGGTTCTTATCTACCCTCTTAGTTTTATGTGGCACAGATGGGGAATGACTTGGGAAGAGCTATTTACTGGCTATTTACATACTTATGACAGTTTATGAATATAAACTTTCAACACAGGAAATGAGACTTACTGCATCAAAATGGAATATTGGAACAATGAAGAATACAAGATGTTTTTTGCCATTCCAACTGGTTGCATTTTCCAGTGGGATGCAAAGGGATTTGCAATAAAGGTAACACACATGATGGTTATTGTACAAGAAGTGTGAACTGGTAAAATCTCATCCATTAATATAAACTCTTAATTTCTGAATGAATTAATTTCCATGCAAGAAGTTTGCTACTTTGAGTACTCTTCCTGAGGATCTAGATTAAAAGTTTCTCACTGTGAAAAATGTCTTCCTTGATCAAGTGGGAGGGGGGAAAAAAAGAGGATAAGAAGAATATGAAAATGAGCAATTTACACTTTATTCCAAAAATAAATGTTCTTCTTCTGTACCTTCTTGTAGGTGTATTCTCAGCCTGTGCCTTGGGATTTTTATATCACCCTTGAGTTACAGAAGCGTTTGAATTCTGACTTTGACCAGAGCTTCAGTGAGAATTGCAGCTGTTACCTGTACCAGGATGGCTGTGCCATTTTGCACAAGGATACAAATTGCTTCACACTCAGGGTCAGTACAGACAAACCAAGGACAGCTGCAAGGTCCAAACTCCTGCTTGGGTGCCAGCAGTGAGTCTGGAGCGGTGTTACGCTCCTTGCTGAAGAGCTTCTCCTGTCTAATCCTGCAATACAGGTGCTCTGGTCTTTATCTGTGTACAAATCAGGGCTGTCTGTTAATGCCTCAGTTGGGTCTGGTTTCTCATTCATAAATCATGTGCTTCTCAGAGACAATCTTGAACCAATTTTTCACATTTTCTGACTTTGTGAGCCATAAAGACTGGAGCCAAGAACCACATATTATTCCACAGCAAGATTTGCATCTAAAGCTGTTGTTTAATTTGACCTCTTTCAATACATTCCAGTCAGCTACAGCAAGGTCACAGCAATTAATGTCTTGCTGAATGATTCTCACTTTAAGTCTTGTAAGTGCATTTTGAATTGTTGCATACAAATAGGACTGAAATTCAGTAGTGATTTCAGTCTTCAATTTCTCCCTCCTGGTCTTTTGTCCAATTCTGAACAATAATGTTTCCTAGCTTACATTTCTTGTAATTCTGTCTGGGCAAAATCTGATTATACTGAGTTTATGGTGGGACTGTTACCTCTGTACAGATGAATAATGAAACAAAAAGTGAGCTATAAATGTTTGACCTAATCTAAGGTAGAAGGGTACAGAGTTAGATGTTTATTCTCTTTTCAGGATATTCTCCATGACCGTAAGTTCATCACAAAGGAAATCATCTTCTTGGTTGTTCATGATCTTCTGCATGTGGTAGAGAAGCTGCACAAAGCTGAGATTGTCCATGGAGATCTGAGGCCAGAGGTGTTGTTTCTGGGAGACAGGTTTGTCTCTGCCTGTGAATATGGGAGGGTACAGAACAGTCATTTCAGCTACAGCCCCTGTGCTGCTGTAACGTCCACCCTTGAGCTGGTGTACTGAAGTACTGAGGCCTGAACAACAGGCCCTGAGCCAAAGCTGACCTCTAGATGAACCTTCCAACCAAATGATATATTTGTATCTACTCATTAATGAAGAATCATTAGCAATATGATGTATGTACCCACTCGTTGTCAAAACATGTATTCACCTTCCTGTATTTAGAAACCAGATAAGGCCACACCTGGGTTTTGGGGGTATAGGGGCAAAGGCAACTCCCTGGGCTGCTCCTTGAGCCTTGGGCAGGCTTTGGGAGGAACCCAGGAGGAGGCTGACCCCAGATGTTCCTGGACTGGAAGTGGTGTGAGCTTGTTTATTGCCCACAGTCCAAGGGTCCAAGCTGGGCCCTGTCCCAGCACAGCTGGAAGTCTCTTTGCCTGCGGGTGGACGCACCCGTAGGAATTCCCAGTCCTGGGAGGGGATCTCCAGCGCTTGGCTGTGACAGGGTCCCCCAGCTGCTGTGTGGCTCTGGAGGGTGGTGGAGTCTTAGAGTGTAACTGGTGCTGTATCTTAATTGCTGTAGGCAGCCCTTGGTAGCAATGATGAGATGCATTGCTGAGCTTCTCCTTGTGTAATTCTTTATAGTCTTGCATTATAGAAAATGACACTATTCCTTAAGTTGGTTTCTGTGCCTCTTGTGCTGAACCTGCCCAGTGGCAAAACAGGCCTGATTTTGCAGTCCAGCTTTTTTAGGCTCCAGTGTATTCTGATAAGAGTGAAACCACTTAATTTAGGAATAAGCCTTCCTGTAGAAATAGTATACATTGACATTGTAAAACTTATGCTCAACAAAATGGTTTTGCTATTACCCATGTTTTTAAGTTTCTGCTTTACCAAGGTTCTGGACCATTAAAGCAAGTTACAGTATGGTTTGTAACTTGCCTTTACATACCTGAAACCCAGGAGATTAGAAGACAAAAGACAGGTGGGACTGGAATATCCAGATACCCTAAACAAAGTGTTCAGCTTCCTCTGCAGTCCAGCTGGTACCTTAATGCATAGACCTAATTTTCTTCTTTAAGCTATTTCCCATGTTATGTTAACAAAGTCACGTATCCCTTGGAAAGTGATCTGTGAACAAAGTGTGGTTATGTCTGGAAATAAAGCACAAACCTTTCCAGACCATGTTAGAATGATAATATAAAAGCAAAACTTTCCTTGAAGGCTGTGTGCCTTCAGGTACAAAAAAAACATGTGGCAAAAAACAGTGCCCCAAATTAGATCCTTGCAATTGATAAGATTGGGCAATTAGAATATCTGGCCAATATTGTCCAATTAGAGGAGCAGTTGATTATGTAATCTCCTCCCTGGGTTCTGCCCTCCTCCCCTACCCTTATTATGCCAGTGATTACGTGGTGCAAAATAAAGTGTCCTTGGAGAACTTAGAGGCATGAGATAACAAAATTTTAGGAATGTGTTAATAAGTGTCTGTTCATTGTGGGAAGGAAAGCTGGAAAAGTACTGGAAGTTACACTGAGGCATTTAACAGTCTACAGAACTACAAATACATGAAGAATACATAAAAGCTAAAAACTTCAGGCATCAGTGGGAAGCCAGTAACCACAATGTCTAATGAATCAGATATAATTCCATTACATGAATTCACTGGGGCTGTTCTTAGTTATCACTGATATGTTAAAAATAGCTATTAAATTTACTTTGAGCATACAGTCATCTAACATACATACTCCCAACATATTTTACTTATAATTTCTTTGTGATTATTTTATTAAGAACTTATTTACATAATTATTTATAAATTACATACCTGTACTATGCAAGTTCTAATATTTTCTTCACATCCTGAAATGGGTTGTCTTGCACATTCTTTAGGGTGCTGTGTCCTCTTGGAAGTCACTGATCTAATAGTGGCTTGATGGACTTGGATACCTCCTACTGAATTCCTCTGTGGCAAATACAAAACAAACAACTGCCAAAAAGTTAGGATAATGGTTTGGGGCTTTTTCAGACAGCAAAAGGACAAGTGCATAGTACAACTTACAAAATAAGCTCAGAGCATACGAGTATGTAAGAAGAGCAGTAGTGAGAGCTGTGGTATGTGGATATTGTTGGCTTGGCAGTTGTCGATAGAGGTACTCCTCCCTGCCCTTCTGTTTTGTCTTCCCTCACCTGTAGACTAGGAGAAGTTTGTTGAAATATTATCAAGTTTAATTACTTTTTCTATCAAGTATTCTGAGATTTAGATAGAGAGGGAGAAGTGCAAAACATTACACTGATTCCACATTTATTCTTGCCTTTTTGCTTTTATCTATTTTTTATATTCTTTACATATCTATATTTGTAGCTCTGTAGCATTTTACCTACTCTATTAGACAGAAAGATAAAATAAATTCCCAGGTGGCTCCAAGCCCTGGGGTCTCTGAAAGCCAAGGTTGAAAACCAGCTCTTCAAGACACATATTCATAAACAAAATTTAGTTCCTGTCTGAGGGCGATTGTTCAGAAATGGGTAGAACCAGGGGGAATTACCTCATCACCCCTGTCTCTAACTGAGGATTCTTGTCAATTATGCTAATTTGCTAAACATATAAAAATTGTACCTGCTTTGTTATGTGTGCATCTTCAGCGCTTTTCATCCGGCATGTTGTGCACCATAAGGATCCTTACAAGGGTAACCCCTTCTTATCACCTGTGTCTGGCTCATCATTTCAGGACCAGTGAAAAGACATCACACTATTCCCACAGCCCACAGACTTTGTTTCAGATAACTGTGACAAATACAAAAGTAGCATCATCCTCAACCCTTTATTGTTTCCTGTTGCTTACTGTGGAGACAGCACTATCATCCCTAAGCTCCCTGCTGTGAGCTCTTGCCATGCAGGGCAGCCCTAGCAGCAGTAGTTCTGACAGCAGCCATCAGAGGGGAGTATTGACATGGCTAAGACTCACCTTCACTGTGCTGTTAAATTTAATTCTAAAAGACAGAAAAAGTTTGTCGCATTGTCTTCTGCCTCATGTGCTTCCTCTGCTCAGGATCTGCGACGCGTTTTCTAATGAGGAGGTGCCAAATGCTCTGAAGGTGGTGGATTTCTCTCACAGTCTGGATTTGAGGCTACTGCCTCAAGTCAGCTTGCCCTACAACTTTCCCACAGCTCAGACTCCTCATGGACAACAGCTTCTGGCAGAAAGTTCTCTTCCTTATCAGGTGAGACTGTATTTAGTAGGACATCTTAATTTCTATGTTTCCTTTACAAAACCCATTTTCTTAAAATAAAATTTACAAGTGCCATGGAAAGCTCTGATCAATAAACACTGAATAAAGAGAATTTTGCATCTGATGGAATCTTTGGCATTAAGTGAAAGGATTAGCAGTGCTGTTCAGTGATTGTAACTACTGTATTAGAAACCTATAATGAAAACAGAATTTCACCTTTAGAAGTTTTCTTGTTTAACAGGTCTCTGGAAGATTCTGGTGGAAGGATGGTTCTGAGTTAAATGTGTGAAAGCAGCAAGAGCAGAAAGTGATAGACATTGAACTTTGTGGTATTTGTTGTGATTACAGGTAGACTTGGTTGGCATTGCAGATATAGTCCATTTGCTGTTGTTTGGGGAGCATATCCAGGTCTATCAGGAGAATTCCATCTGGAAAATCAGCCAAAACTTTTCAAAGTAAGTCCTTTTGCAGAGGGGGGCTGCTGAGAAAGAAGCGACATCAAATTTCATTTTCTTCATAGTGATACTGTCTTCAGAGCTTAGACTGTACTGTCTTCAGAGCTTGGATTGTACAACAACTTGGGGCTGTTTTTGCCAAAAAGTGTTAGTTTTGTGGGGCTGGAAATTGTGAAGTTGTTGGACTTCTTCACTGGTGGCCTCAGTGCTGCATAGGAGACAATTTTAAGTTGAATATGAATAAACGAGATGAGATGATTTTGCTTTTTGATTCTTTCAGGTGAGGCACAGTCAGCACCTTACAGCTTGGAGAAGTTTGTAAGTGGGTGGGTGGTGAGGGGGGCAAAGATCACATGGGCTTGTTGCCTCAGAGATGGATTAGTTTGGCTTTCTGCTTTTTTTTTTTATTCTACTAAGACACTGATGGCAGAGTGTAACAGCTGTAGAAACGGTACATTTGTACAGCAAAGAAAATAATTTAAAACTGTCATCTAAGATGCAAGTGTGCAAACAGCTGCTTTTTGGAAGCCGCTGTTGTTTATTTTGTTAGGCACATACTGCAGGTTTTCTTGCCTTGGCATTTCACAAGGATTTTCCAGAATTCTTCCAGCAGTTGCTGGACAGGTATCTGATTCAGGATCCTGCATCGCTGCTAGGACCATTGCTTTAAGAAAACATACTACCAGCGTGGGAGTTGTCCAGTTCCCTAGCAACCTGTACTGCTTACATCTCCCAGTTTGTTGTGTTCAGCCTTTGGAAAAAATCCAATCTTCTTAAGCTGGGTACAGAGGAAAACATGTCCTTTTTTTTATTTATTTTTTTTTAAATTCTTCCTTTACTGGGTATATGTCTGGTTTTCTACTATGATATCCTTTGTTTAATTCTGCAAGAGATTAAATTGCGCTACTGCAGATGAAGCCACATAAGGCCTGAGTTGAGAAGGCTGAGACATGGTGTCAGGGACCAATCAGGATGTGGGTATGGGAAAAAGAGCAGTAACTGTCTGGATAACTGGAGCAGGAGGAATAGTAAGTCTGAGTTGGGAAGGATAGGGCTGTCTGTCTGTCAGTGAAGTTTGGAGAGGAGGAGTTTATTGGAAAGGAATTGTAGTCAAAGCTGTGGATTCTGGATTGAAAAAATTAGGATTTTGGGCTGAGGTAGAAATTGGAGGAGTCTTGAGGAGTGAGACCTGTGAAGGGCTACAGGATACACAGCAGGAAGAAGATAAGGTCTGGGCACAAGTTCTGTAGAGCTGGAACCAGGCTGTAATGGCTTCTTGCTCACCTGCATGCATCAGTTCATAATTTGGGAGTTCAGAGTACAAATAAGGAATTTCTTTTCCATCCTGTCTTCTGCTTTCCTTCTGAAAGTGTTATAGACTTATCATTCATCATCTATACTTACTTGTCAATATCAATTATTCCAATAAATGTCTGCATAGGTGCTTTAGTTACACGTTGTACTGAAGTCTTATATCTACAGTGTAAATGAGGTATTTCATTATGTGGCAATAAGGAATTTGCTCTGAATCCATTTCCGTTCACACGTGGATCTTTTAGTCTGTGTAGTTCTTTGCTCTAGTCTGTTTGAAGTTTTGAAGTAATCTGTGACAAGTAAATTCACTGCTGCAGGGAGCCTTCTTCCACCAGAAGAGGCTCCACAATTGAGTATTCCCTGGGAGAAGAGTCAGCTGATGCAGATCAATTTTGCTCTTCATGTTGTGCATACAGCCACTCGTGCTGGTGACACTGTTAACACCTCTGAAGACACAGGACTCTTCTTCCTGCTTTTAGTAATTTTACTTTTGTAAAAATGACATTCCTTCTGTCCTTTGTGTTCAAAGTTCTCCAAGTGATTTGGGAAGTGATTTTGTTTTTTATTTCTTTGAGGTTCATTTCAGTTTTGGGTTTTTTTTCAAGGATTTTGACAGAATAACTTTCCTAAAAACAGGGTTCTGAGAATTCAGATATTGACAACTAGAAATAAGGCTTCTTGCTAGAAGGCTGACTGGTGTTAAATACAACCACCATGACCCTCTTATCTTAAGAAAGCTTTTTAAACAGGATTTAATTATTTTTATTAAACAAATGTAGATATAGCAGAATGACTGTAAGAGCTACCAATTTTACTACCAGTTCAGCAATTACCGAAGCAGTGGGGAATTGCAGGGTAGAGCACAACATTTTTCTTCCAAGGTCAATGGCTTTCAATAAAAGAGAACCCACTTAAAAGGTGACAGAACAAATGGAAACCACTGAAACATTGTGGTAGAGGTTTAGGAGAAGGTAGAATGTAAATTGTGATCAAGTTGATTTTTTCATCTCCAAGTATAATGCTTACAGCCTGTTTTTCAGGGGAGAGCTTTTACCATTATTAAAGAATGGATATGGTGATTTTTTTCTCTTTTCACTGCACTATTTTAGGAAACTTCATCTGTGCAGGTTTATGTGAGGCAGGGTATAGGAGCTGTGTTTGAATTTTTAGGACTATTTTTGTCACTCAGATCTCCTTACACCTCCTTAGCAACACTTCATCTCCTCTGCCACACCTTTTGCTCATCTAATCCCACAAAGAAAATGGACTCAAGTCTTGCATATTTTTTTCTTGGTTAGGTTCTGCATTGACTTAATTATTTTAGCAAATATAAGATTTAGCAGTGAAATAGTACAGGCTGGATTCATTTTGAGACTGGTTGTTGCTGTTTTGTGAGTCAGTTAGATAAAGCAGAGGCAGATAATTTGTTTCAAAGCCACTGTAACTCCTAGCTCGAGGGAGAAAAGTGCTTCAGTAGTCAGTAGCAGTGTGAGACAGAAGAACAAAGGGTTTGCTCTAATATCAGTTTTCTGAGACTTAAATGAGTCACTTAACCTTTTTATTCATGTTGTGTGGGTACATCTGGGAGAGAGGGGATTTATTACTATTAATTGTCTCCAAAATATTATCTGTACAGAGCTCTGGCAGATGGAAGGTGGGGCAAAAAGGAAGCAAAACTGGCTCTAAACCACCTTTTTTTTTTTTCCTTGCAGTTTTCCTTTAATATTGCCCTGTTAACTTAGCTTGCAAGTGGGTAAATAACATTTACCTCTGCCTTTTATTCATGAAAGGAGTTTCCCAAGTTGTTCAGTTCAAAAATGTTCTTGATAATTCCTGTAAACTAAAACTGCCTTGGCTTACTGTGCATGGTGGTAGTGGTCAGTTATACTAGAAGAGGTAACTGTATAAACAGTTGGTTTAGACCTGTGTAGTTACTATCCAGAAACCTATTGGAGAATGGGGTCCCTACATTTAAAATGAACAACTTATTCCTAGTTTTCCTTTATATTTACTCAGGTGAGTGAAATTATTTTTTCAGGTATGGTTGTCCCTGGATGTTTAGTGCTGAATATAAATTGAGACCTTGACAGACACATTGTGTGTGTGTGTTTGTATTGTTCCACTGAACACTGCTCTGTTTGTTTTAGGACCCCTGACAGTGATTTCTGGAGTAAACTTTTTGAGAGAATTCTGAATGCAGATGGTAAGTCCACAGTACCTCTGCTGAGAGAGCTGAGAGAGGAAATCAGTGAAATGTTTGACAGCTCTTTCAAAGAACGACTTTTGTTGACCTTAGCTGCTGTGGGAGAAACTTTCCTCCTGGTGAACTTCCAGTGACTTCATAGGAAACAAACACATTTTGTATTCTAGAGAAGAATTTGTTGTTGCTTTCTTATGTTTTCAAATGTAAACATGAGAGTGATTGGAGCCATTTCTGCAATACTTCACATGGGACTTGCTCAAGAATGTTTCTATTGCATGAGTGCATGGAAAACCTCCTGAGCCTCTACATGAACCTTTCTGTGTCGGAGCAGTTTGTGAGAGAAAATTGTTTGTCTTAACTGCCACCTCCCCTTCTTGTACAGCTCCTTAAAAATTTAACACCTAACTTGCACCACACTCTGAAATGTCTTTGTCCTGCATTCAGTTGGTCCTTCAATTGGTGTTTAATCAATAAAGTTGTGTTTTGGTAGCGAGTGTCATATTTAACATTGCTATCAAATGGTTTCAAAAGACTTCATTTAGAATCCATGCAGGAGTGCTGCTGCGTGACTGGGAATGTTTTGTGGCTGCTGGATGCAAAAGCCCCTCATTTGGTGGCAGCTTTCATAACCACATGGGATTTTCTGGACACTTCAATACAGCTTAAATGATTCTGTTTGGAATGTGCTCTCACAGAAAGTTGTCATAAGAAGGAGTAGATGAAGTCACAAGTGGAAAAGCTGCACACATAAACCTTTTTTCTTCTTAAGGCAAGAGTTTTGTTTACTTTTGCAAGGGCTGGAGTTCCTGGCTGGATTTTGAGCATCCCTGAAATCTCAATTTGCCCTAAGTGATGCGTTGGCAGGCTTTTGTGAGAGGTTTTGTGGATAGTTATATGTGTTAACCTTTTATGTACTGCATTACTGAAACCAGTACAAAGGCTTCATTTTATTCAAGACAACGGTGTTTACCAGATCCAAACCCAAGGTGGTACTATGTACTTGAAGTGTAGGGAAACTTCTCAGACTTGGGATTTACTTCCTTGCAGCTTCTCCCACACAGGAAAGTGAGAGTAGATAACTGCATCGTTAGCAATTTCTTCTCCCTAAGAAGCCAAATGGATTGTGTTTTTTCATTTAGTTGAATTCTCCACCCATGGTTCTCCCCCTTTGGGTTATCTCCAAATTTTGGGGTGGAACTCAGTTTTGTCTTTTCCACATTGCTTCAAGCCACCTTCTTTCCTGCTTTTTTTCTGCATATTCCATCACTGTTCCTCTTACTTTGGTCTGTCTTCTTTTTGCTCTCATGGATTCCTAATGCCTTTTTTTACACTTTTTCTCTGTAAGGGCTATATGTTCTTCTAATTCAGGAATAGGACCTAAATGCCCTGATAGACCAGCTTTAATATTGAATGTAAACTGCTGCTGAAGAATTTATTTTGGTCCATTAATGCTTCTTGTAGTACATGGATTAGTCATCTATTGAGCTAGCAGATAAACAATGCTCTATCTCTAACCAGAGTTTAGAACCAAGATCACTGCTAGAGCACTGAGGAGTCCAATGCATAGCTAACTTCTGCTAGCTCTAAAAAGATGCTGTGTTTGTTCTTTTATTTAACTGAATTTTGTTTTGCTTTTGCTGATCCTTTAACAGCCTTTTAGACAAAATCTGGGGAATCTCACTTGCTGTCCTCTCAATTGCAACTTTTCCAGTTTATATCCTGCAGCACTGAGCTGAGTACCAGGTATATTAGGAAGAGAAGGCTCCTAACAAAGTATCAGTCATCCCAAGGACTTCTCAGACAAGGCGTGTTTACAGCCACTAGAGAACAACTTCACTGTGTCTAATTTGCACAGAAAGCTTTTGAGAACAGGCTGAACAGAGATAAGAGCTCTCAGCAGAAGTTCAGTAGAGGAAATCTGTTCTTCAAGTCTTTAAAATATGTAAGTGAACCTATTTGTCTTTACTTAAATGAGATCTAAATCAAAGCTGCAATACTCCACTATTACTTTTTTGTTGACTTGGCATCTGTTTTCTTTCTAAATAAAAAATGTGCTAATCCTTCTCTGTCTAGTACAGCTGCCCATGATCAGTCACTCTTCATGTATGTCCCAGACAACACAAAACTGGCCCCAGTAGTGTAAAAACAGAAACAGCAATGGCACTATAAATTTCTCCATAATAAACACACACAAATAATGAAGAGGAGCAAGCAGGTATAACAAGAACAAGCAGTCATCTCTTCAGATGTTTGTTCCCACTTCTGCTTCGATGAACTCTGCGTCTCTGCTGCACAGGTCAGTCTCTGCCTCCCCTATGCCATGAGCTGATTGCACTGACATGTAACAGGAACTCAGGGAGCTCTTTGGACATCCCTGTTTTCTGTTCAAGTAACTGCCTCCAACCTTACACAAGCTTTGCCTCCAACCTTACACAAGCTTTTCCTGAGCGCCACTTTTGTGAATCATTGTGTAACACACAGGTGACCTGTGACCTTGCAGGCTGGGATTGCCATAGACTCATCATGAAGTAGGAGGCACATCAGCCTTGCCCACAGGATATTTGGAGACGAAAACTGTCTTAATATTTGCTTTGGGAAAAGAGGCATTTATAAATCCTGACATGACAAAATGTTCCACACCAAGTAGAGGGTAAAATGAAATTGTGTGACAGCCAAATGTAGAAGTCCTAGTGAAGTTATTATTAAAAAATAGAGTGATGGAATCTGGGCTATGGGAAATTTTAATGCCTATTATATAAATAAAAGTACACAAAGGAAAATGGGAATGTGATGGGTCATGGTTGTACCAAGTTGCTTGAGAACAAAACTTGACCAGAGATACAAGAGGGATGTCTGGAAGATATCTGTGGGCTTCAGCTGCTGTGGTTCAGAAACTGAAAGGATCAAATTATTAATGTCCACTCTGTTAAGCAAAAAGGTGTCTAAAAATATTTGCAGGAAATCACTGAGCAGCCAAAAATGCTAAAGGTAAAAAATCAGGGCTGATTTAATGTTCTTGAGCTGTGGGTGGGACAAACCCCACAGGTGTGAGCCATTTTCTGCTCCTTAAGCTCTGGAAGCTGCAGCTGGAGTTGATTCCACTGTTTCTAAGGGCTCATGAAGATCATTGCTTACACCTGTGAAACACAGGTGGTCCACGTTACCTTCTTAGTGCCTCTGGAGTGGAGTGACCAATGATGTTACAGAACCTAATTGCTTTTTAAGGCACACCTGCAAGCATTTACAAATCCTTGTGATCTCTGAAACTCACTTTATTTGCTCACTTCATTTCTGAAGAGATTATTGTAAGGAAGCTTGAGGAAAGGTGAGGAGTTCTGATCATCTGCTGGCCTTCAAAGGTATGTGATTTGTAGATTTAAAATCCTAACTCTGAGATAGTTGGGAAATCTCCTAAAATTTATCAGATAAGTGCACTCAGAATATATGTATCTGAGACTTGTGCAGCCTGGGGTTTGTATTCAATAAAAAAGATCAAGCAAACCTCAGAAGAGAATGATACACCTGATAACTGGTACGTTATCAGAAGTGTAAGTCTGAGCTTGTGCTAGCAGATAAAATGATTTCACAGAATAAACTAGGATTTTTGGGTTTTCCAGAGTAAACTAGAAGGGACAGGCAATTCAGGAGAGCTACAAGGATGTTGTGAGGTTATGCAGGGACAAAATTAAAAGGGCCAAAGCTCAACTAAAACTTAATCTGGGTTCTGCTGTGAGAGACAGTATAAAAATGTTTCTATAAATAAATGAGCAACAAAAAGGGCTGAGAAGAATCTGCATCCTTATGGGACTTTAAGGCACTCTTTAGTAAAAAGTAGTTGAGTCAGTGTCCCTGGCAGAATTTAAATAATATATAGAGGTGGCACTTGGGGATAACCTGGTTTAGTGGTGAATTTGGTGGTGCTGGGTGGGCTCTTGGAGATCTTTTCCAACCTTAATGACTCTGTTATTTAAAGAAGACACATCACTCCTCCTGCATGAGTATCAGCAAGTAATTCTGCTGATATTTCTGCTAAGATTCTTTCTTCTGTTCTGCTGCTGCTTTCCCAAATAATATTCCAAAATGCCTTTGGGCTAAAGTGCAGCTCCTGAGGTGCGGTGCTCCCTGCTGTGCCCCGGTGATTTCCCCAAGGATGCCTCGATGTACAAAAGCTGAGTTCTTATTTGAAGTGAGTTATTTGCCTGTGGGCTGGGGATTTGGTGGTTAGAGTCTTTCCTTTAGCCTTGGGCTATGGGCACTGCAGTCACATGGATGTGCCTGCGTTTATAGAGATCACTCTTAAAGCTTGACAAGGAACACTAAACTCCTTTAACAGTTTCATTCTTTTGGTTCTTACTGTTTCACACTTTTTGCCTCTCTGCTCAGTTAATCCAGCAGAAGCTGGAGGCTGTTTGGAAGCTTAGAAATATGAAGGTTTCATTTCCATAATAGTTTAAATTATTAAACAACATGAATATCAAGGTCATTCAGTAAAGACTGAGGAAGACTCTTGTTTTTTGTTGGTTCTAGAAATGTTTGTTCCTTACTTTCCTTTTGTCATAACTATGATCCAAAGCTATTTAATTATTGACCTCATGGTATGGAATTGTGATTTACCAACCAGGAGCAGTAGCTGGGTGACACAATGCTGACAGAAGACAAATGTTAATATTCAGTTTCTAGGCCTGAGCTGAAGGGTTTTTTTCCCCAGTGCTTTGGATTCTCTTGATTTTTCAGTATCTTGGGTAGTGTATTTCCTTGAAGCTAAACTAGTAATGTACTTTTAGTGTGATACTTTATATTATCATTCACTTGAGAATCATTTTGTAGAAAAAAAAAAAAGTTGGAATGTTGCAGAATTCAGAATTTTTTTGTATGCTTCCTTGATATGCAGTAAAGGCACTGGACTGTTCTGCTACATCTGCATCTACTCCTAAAGAACCAACCTGGATTAGTGCTCTACCTGTATGTGAACTGAACTGGCTTATTCCAAGTGCATTCTAAAATTACTATTTTTGTTCCTAAGTTCTTAGTCTTCCCTTTTTTCCCCTCTGTGTTTTGCAATTTTTACACGCACTAAACATTTGTTCTGTAAGAATTGTGTTGATGTGCAGACCCCACACAGCCAAGACCAAACCAACAGTCACAGGATCCTCGGGGAGCCCTTCCAGGTCAGGCTGTTCTGTGATTCCATGAGTTATTACTGAGTGGTTATAAGGAGTACGAAGCCTTTACATAAACCAGGGTCTCTGTCCCCTCTCTTTTTGTGACATGTCTTCCCTTCCAGAAGTGGTTGTATCTCAGTAATGCTGCAGAGATTTTCAGGCTAGAAATTACTCTACAAACATGAGTATTATTTAACCTCAAACCCAGTGAGGAGCTGGGAAAGCTAAATCTTGCTCTAATGAATGAAGTCCGAAAGCTGACAGCATTCAGTAATCTCACAGGTTTGGGATATTTTCTGACAAGAAAATTCATTTTCTGAAACTTGTTGACAGAAACATCAAGAATGGAGCTGCT